AACAGGTGGGGCTTTCGCCGCCGCCGGCAGCCCGAGTGACAGCTTGCGCGCGGGGAGAGCGCGGTTGCCGCGCTATCAAATTCCACTCGCTCACTCCCCAACACGCCCGGGCTGGCAGGTGAGTGACTGAGCCGCTCTCGTACCACCTGGAAAGCTGAGATACAGTTTTTAAGTTGCTCGGGGCGGGGGGGGGAATTTGGCACGTTTGGGTGTTGAGGGGAAAGGTCCCCTCTGTGTTTGGAACTGGCAAGGAGCCCTTTTGCTGTGGCCGCTCCAGAGGTGCTGGCAAGGTGGAGGTGTGTAAAGAGCATCCTCACCCATCTGGGATCTGGGAGCTGCTTGCTTTGGGTTAAGCAAGAAGATCATAGAATCATTGAATAGTTTGGGTCGGGATGGACCTTTCAAGGTCATCTTGTCCAACCCCCCTGCAACAGGCAGGGACATCTTCAACCAGATCAGGTTGCTCACAGCCCCGTCCAACCTGACCTTGAAAGTTCCCAGGGATGGGACCTCTACCACCTCTCTGGGCAACCTGGGCCAGTGTTTCACCACCCTCAGTGTAAAAAGTTTCTTCCTTAGATCTAGTCTGAGTGAACCCTCTTTCAGTTTAAAGCCATCACCCCTTGTCTTATTGCTCCAGGCCCTACTAAAAAGTCTGTCCCCATCTTTCTTATCAGCCCCTTTGAAGTATTGAAAGACCACAAGAAGGTCTCACTGGAGCCTTCTCCAGGCTGAACAACCCCAACCCTCTCAGCCTGTATTCATAGGAGAAGTGTTCCACGCCTCTGATCATTTAAAAGAAGGGTAGTGAGGTGCTTAGGGACATGGTTTAGTGGTGGGATGGCAGGATTAGGTTAATGGTTGGACTTGATGATCTTAAAGGTCTTTTCCAACCAAAGCGATTCTATGATTCTGTGATTTTTGTGGACCGAAGACGCTGAGGGCCGTGTGAATCCCTGCAAAAACTTTACAATTCTGAGCAAATGATCTATTTGGTTTTTTTCTCCTCTTTCCAACAGCAAAGTTGCACTGTACGCCCAGTCCTGGCTCCTCGCCCTCCGGCTGCCTGAACAGATCATCCACGAGCCGATACATCGCCAGGTCTGTACTCGGGGGGAGGAACGGCGTGCTCCCCCGCCGGATGCTGCGCGGGATTTACGCTCGGCAGCTTGAGACGCAGCTTTTTTTGCTGGCTGGTGATGCAGTGAAATTCTTCCTGCTGCTTTTCCCCCAGCCTCTGCTACCAGGTTTTTTTTTTTAAGCTCACCAGAAAGCCACGGTTTCTCCTTGGTAAGGTTTTGAAAGGTTATTAACGGGTAGCAACACCTTTCTGCGAGCAACAAAACGCCAAATCCTACTTGGAAAGTCCCTTTTTAAATTAACTGTGTTGTTCTCAAGAGGTACTTTGGGGTTTTTCCCCCCGACTCAGAAGCCCATCCCAATTTAACCCAGCAAACCTGCAGGTTTTCCTTCTCGCTATCCCACCCACAAACTGGGAACCTGCCCCGTGGTCAGTGGAAAGCACCGTGTATGAGAGAATGACGGCACGGTGCCGGCGTTCAACGCCTGCCAGCTTTCTCCTCGCCTTTGTTTTTTTTTTTGTCCTACAGACGTGCCACATATCGCTGTGTCCTTAAGTAAGAGCGTTTGCAGACAAGTCCCTTTTAACTGGAGCAGACTAAAATTTATTCCCGAAGTATGTCTGTTCCAGATGTCTGTGTACAGACATAATGCCAGATTCTCGCTGTATTTTATCCTATCCTACCACTAATATCAATAAAATGTGCCGTCAGAGTTGGTTGGTGCTAGAGTCCAACTTGCAAACGCTTTCTGCGCAGGTCAACGCACTAGTGACCTGGCCAGGTATCCCAAGTTGGTGTTGATTATGGAAGAGTCTTTTTTCAAGATCATAATTTCGGCAAAGAAATACTCTTTCTTTAAAGGCTTGCCTTGCATTAGCCTTGGAAACACCTCAAGTACCAAAAAGCAATTTGTGGTGGGGCTTGGTGTCCCTCAAGCCATTCCTGATGAATGAAGTGGTGGCATTTGAGGTGCTTAGGGACAGGCTTTAGTGGTGGGATGGCAGGGTTAGGTAACGGTTGGACTTGCTGATCTTCAAGGTCTTTCCCAACCTGAATGATTCTATGATTCCTGATGCTGAAACGGGGCTTTCATGTTCAGCATTTTGGCTGCATGAAGTTATCTTTTTCTCATTGCATTTTAACTCGAGAGCTTCAGGCAACCAATAATTGCAGAGGTAAAAATGTGCGTTCCTCCCGAAAATAGTTTCCTTGTGTGAGTATTTATCATGGGCAATGCTGCTGTGACCCTTAGGCCCGTGGTTCTCACACCAGGAGGACCAAGCCTGTGAAAATACATAAATATTATCTAATATTTATATATTACGCATATCTTAAAATAATTTTAGATATAAATCTTTACCCTTCGTCTCTATGGAAGCAACACATACAACTACCCAGAGAACCTGCCTTAGGTGGCTTTGTTTGCCCCATCCAGAGCACTGCGTCCTCTGCAAACTTGAGTTGACCATGCCGTACCATTTAATTATCTGCTCGGAGAGACCAAACGTGCCCTCCCTGGTGTTGCATTCACCCAGATCTCAACGCTTCCCCTCTTCCTCCCGGTCCCATACATCTCTATAGCTGCTGGGTAATTACCTCTTCAGCTGGAAGCTTATGGAAAATGCGTGCTAAGCAACTTTTTATATCCTTAAGCAACTTCTAGTGGTACCAGACAATTCATCGCGTGGTTTTCTGGTATTTGGTGTTACCTTGTGTTTCTGCAGCTGTCACGTAGGCCCTCATTCATTGAGGTCCATAAGCAGGTGCCCACTTGAAGACCTTGAATAGCCCTGGAGCGTGCAGTGGGCCAGCTGGCAGGGACACGTGCTGAAGTGCCCTCTAAGTTGTTCAGCATTTGCATCCTGTGCTGCACGAGCCCAGCGCAGGAGAGGGTGTTTTCTGCCTCACTATGTTCCCAAAAACTGTAGGAAGCTCTCTCCATGCTCATAAAATCATAGGAGAGAATCACAGTCGTGGAGGTGAGAAGGGGTCTCTGAAGAGCTCTGTCCTTCCTCCTGCCCCAGAGGGCCTCTTGTCCTTCCTATATATCTCTCTGAGAAGGTCTGGTTCCACCTTCTCTACACCATCCCATTAAGAAGGCACAGAGGACAAGAAGATCCCCCTTGGCCTTCTCCTTGCTGAGCAAATCAGCCCACAGCCTCTGCTCAGATGTCCCGTGCTCCAGCCCCAGCCATCTTGGTGGCCTCCACTGGACACGCTGCCGTCCATCGCTGTCTGTATTGTGCTGGGAGCCCCAGATTGGACCCAGTGCCCAGCTGTGGTCTTGCAAGTGCCAAACCGAGGGGATAGATCCCCTCCCTCTGCTCATACAGCCCATGGTGTGGTTGGTGTCATCACCACAAGGGCACTTGGCTGACTCCTGGATGCCTCATTGTTCCCCAGGGTCGTCTTCTGCAGAGGTGCTTTCCAGGCGGTTGGCCCCAACCCATCCTGCTGCATGGGGTTAATTCTATATGAAATGCGAATGTTTCCTGGGAGACTGGCCTCTTCTTGCAGATTTTTAAAGATTTCAGGGTGAAGTTGGCCAAAAATCAAAAAGACCTAAGAGCTTATGGCCCAGCATGAATGTCCTGAATGTCTCACTCTCTCTTCAAAGTGAAACTTGGGCTCCTCTGTGATTTCAGGTGCTGTTGACCTGTCTCCTCTACGTCATTGTTGCGTTGAAGTTGGAGATGTTACCTGACTCTGTCTGTCTTTCTCCGTTTAGCCGTGCTGTTCAGCGAAGTTTGGCCATCATTCGTCAAGCCAAGCAGAAGAAAAAGAAGAAGGAATACTGTATGTACTACAACCGCTTCGGCAAGTGTAATCGTGGGGAGAGCTGCCCCTACATCCATGATCCAGAAAAGGTGGCCGTCTGTACCAGGTATGGATGGACACAGCAACCACCTGCTTTGGCCCATCATGGTAGACTGGGCCATTTGGTTGGCTTTGGTTCATGCTCATGTGATATTTCCCAGGGAAACAACCCAATAACAGAGATGTAAGACCATTGGAACAGCTGTTCTGGGTCAGGCTCGAGATCTGCCCAACGCTGTCGGGCTGGCAGGTACCTACAGGAGGAGAACAAGACAAGGGCTCTTCCTCCTGGCTGGGACCTCTCAGCTTCTGCCAGCGAAGCCCTGCAGCCTGGTGGCGTTTGGTTTTCAACTGCCAGAGGTTGCCACCAAACCATCAAGGTGTAATAGCCAGCAGTTCTTTTTTTCTTTTTTCTGTGAGTTTATGTAGTCTTTTCTTTAACACACGGTATTTACGGCAATGGGTTGCGCAACTGAATTACGGACTGCATGGAAAGTGCTTCCTCAGCTGGCTGCTCAAGTATCACACTGGGCACCTCCTCACTTGTGGTTCATTTTGTGTTCGGTTTTGGGCCCCTCACTGCAGAAAAAATGTTGTGTTGCTGGAACATGTCCAGGGAAGAGCAAGGAAGCTGGGGAGGGGTCTGGAGCCCCAGGCTGCTGGGGAGCGGCTGGGGGAGCTGGGGGGGTTCAGCCTGGAGCAGAGGAGGCTGAGGGGAGCCCTCTTTAACAGCCGGGCAGCCATGGCGCTTGGGGACGGGGTTTGGGGGTGGGATGGCAGGGGTAGGGTAATGGTTGGGCTTGATGATCTTAAAGGGCTTCTCCAACCTAAACGATTCTATTATATGATTCTATGAGAAGGAATCATAGAATCATAGCATGGTTTGGGTGGGAAGGGACCCCTAGAGGTCACCCAGGCCAACCCCCCTGCATTGAGCAGGGACATCTTCAACCAGATCAGGTTGCTCACAGCCCCGTCCAACCTGGTCTTGAATGTTCCCAGGGATGGGGCCTCCACCACCTCTCTGGGCAACCCATTCCAGTGTTTCATCACCCTCATTGTAAAGAATTGTAAAGGATGGAATAATCATTCCCCCATCACCTTCTAGGCACCATTTCTAACTATATAGTCCTTCCCTCTCTGACCAAACTTCCCAGACTGGAGAATCATGGTCCATTTAATCTCTTCTGGTAGTTTTTCTCTAGATTTACACAGCATTTTACACCTATTCATGCTGATAAGCATCGCACAACCAGCCTCTAAGTTAAATACACACGTTTTGGTTGCTCCACACAGGCTGTAGGGATTACAGAAATAATTTGTTTCACATTTTGGAGGTAGATACCATCACCAGGACACTTAAGTCTAAGAAGTAACCTTCCTTATCATAGTACAAAAGCTCGAAAAAAATTAAGAAATCGGAGTAGTGGTTTAAGAATTAGTAATAAGATCAAGTTAACATTTCTTAAATGTAATCAGAATAATGGTCCTAAGTCATTTACTTACTGCTGTTGGGTTGAAGATGCCATCAGGCTTTGCTGGGTGGAATTTAGAGGCTAAACCATTTAGCCAATCCCCAAAGAGACCATCTACCGTCTGACTTGAATGATTTTGTGGGTCTTGGGTAATACCTAGTGCAGATATTGGAGCGGTGCTAATCTGAGCTGAGCGACTTGAGAGCCTGCCCTGACCGCGCACCGGGTGATTTCTTCTAGCAGCATTTCTCAGATCCGCTTGATCCGGGCACCAGGTTTGAATCCTTCAGCCTGTGACGCCATGCGGCTACGAGGCTTGATAATTTATTACAGGAGAACTGATTCATGTTGCCAGCTCATTATACCTGCCCAACAGTTGATTAAACTATATTATTAGTCGTTTAAAAAGTGTAGAAAAGCCAACTCCACTGATGAACTCCTTGAGTAATTTCTCCGTAAAATTGCTGCTGGGCTAGAAATCATTTGGAGGTTGCACAAAGCTCGATGGGAGACCATATAGGAGGGAAAGGTGATTTATTTTTTACTGATTTCACTCGCTCTCACGCATTCTCCCATAACACATCCTCACAAGCACTGAGGCACATGTGTCCAAGGTATCCGGTCAGGACTACTTCTGGTGACACAGAGGACAAGGGATCATAGAATCATAGAATGTTTTGGGTTGGAAGGGACCCCTAGAGGTCAGCTAGTCCAACCCCCAGGATGCCGGCTACTGAGTCCTTGCTTCGAATCCTTCATTGTTCTTATGTTGGCCACCAAGCCTGGTTTTGGGCTGTGCTCCTTGTGTACTTTATGACAACGTTGATTTACTCTCGGTCTTGTGTCTCTTTAAACCCTGGTGCTTCTAGCTCCAATCCTGTTTTTTAGCTTTCTGTTATTGTATCTTCATTTTCTCAGTCTGCTTTTGGTTTAGGGTGTCCTTTATTTTCCAGATCTGGGTGTTTTGAGGAGGTGCACGTAGCTACGCCATGATTGCAATCACCTGTAAACCTAGTTGTCATCAACCAGGTGGTTCTCACATCTCTATGTTCCTGTTCCAACAGTTGGGTTTAATGGTTGGACTTGATGATCTTAAAGGTCTTTTCCAACCTAAATGATTCTATGATTCTGTGATTTATACTTTGTTCAAACCAATCTGAATTTGATTTTATTTTTAACGAAGCTCTCCACGCTCAGCTCTGAATTTACCCAGATTTTATAAATAAAGCTGGGGGCGTATTCTGTGCTCCAGAACCTCCCTGCAAGGTTACGCAGCTCAGAGCACGTACCCTTGGAGTCTGCTTTTGGGGGGCGTTGGACCAGCACTCTTCCCATGATAACATGTCTATTTCATTAATTTGCTGGTGCACCGGTACCTCCTAGGAAAACTTCCGAGTCCAAACATCCTCCCGTGCTTTGGGATCTTTGTTTCTGTTGTGTGCCTGTCTCTGCTCCTCCTGGTTGTTGGCCACTCACACCCAGAGGTCCTGGTGATTCATCTGGCATCTGGTGTAATCAAGGCTCTGGGAAGGACCTTTCTCCTTCTGGAAGCATCATCTCTGAACCTCATGGTAGAAGCCTTGTTCTGCCTGCTAACAAGCAGCCAAATACGATGAAAGAGTGACGAGTGGTGTCCCTCAGAGGTCCATACTGGGACCGGTGCTGTTTAATGTTTTCATCAATGACTTAGACAGCGAGATCGAGTGCACCCTCAGCAAGTTTGCGGATGACACCAAGCGGAGTGGTGCGGTTGACACACCAGAAGGACAGGATGTCATCCAGAGAGACCTGGACAGGCTGGAGACGTGGGGCCTGTGTGAACCTCATGAGGTTCAACAAGGCCAAGGGCAAGGTCCTGCACCTGGGTCAGGGTAACCCCCAGTATCAGTACAGGCTGGGGGAAGAAAGGATGGAGAGCAGCCCTGCCCAGAGGGACTTGGGGGCGCTGATGGATGAAAAGCTGGCCATGAGCCGGCCATGGGTGCTGGCAGCCCAGAAGCCAACCCTACCCTGGGCTGCATCAAGAGAAGCGTGGCCAGCGTCGAGGGAGGGGATTCTGGCCAGAGGAGGGCTACAAAAATGATCCGGGCGCTGGAGCCCCTCTGCTCTGAGCCAGGCTGGGAGAGTTGGGGGTGTTCAGCCTGGAGAAGAGAAGCGTGCGGGCAGAGCTGATTGCGGCCTTTCAGTACCTAAAGGGGGCCTATAGGAAAGAGGGGGAAAATCTTTCTAGTAGGGCCAGCTGGGACAGGACAAGGGGTGATGGCTTTAAACTAAACCAGGGTAGGTTTAGACTGGATCTAAGGAAGAAATTCTTTCCAGTGAGGGTGGTGAAACCCTGGCAGGGGTTGCCCCGAGAGGTAGTGGAGGCCCCATCCCTGGGAACATTCCAGGCCAGGTTGGCCGGGGCTGTGAGCAACCTGATCTAGTTAGCGGTGTCCCTGCTCCTGCAGGGGGGCTGGACTAGATGCCCTCTAGGGGTCCCTTCCCACCCAAAGCATTCTATGATTCTATGATTCTATGAAAGAGCAAAATCTATCAGGAAGCATCAGCTGCTCTTCTACGAGGAAAGACCTGTACTGATTTAGGGCATGAAATGGGATTTAACAGCGAGCTTGGCAGCAGTCGTGTATTCAGAACCTTGGGGCAAATGTGGCAATGGGTCAAGGCAGGCGTTCGGTGTTTAAAACTGCGTGGTTTGCGACCCACCTCGTGCTCAACCCTCTCCTTCTGGTGTATCTACAGGTTTCTCCGTGGCACATGCAAGAAGACAGATGGGACCTGTCCATTTTCCCACAAGGTGTCCAAAGATAAGGTCTGTATGGCTTCCCAAAAAGCGCACGGTGGCTCTACAAGTGATACGCTGGTGGTTGTAGGGAAGTCTACCTTGCCGAGTGCTTCCAGCAGAGTTGGTTTATAGTTTGCTTGCTGAGGTGTTCATAGATCATAGAATGATCATAGAATGATCACAGAATCGTGTAGGTTGGAAAAGACCTTTAAGATCATCACATCCAACCATTAACCTAGCACTGCCATCCCACCACTAAACCATGTCCCTCAGCACCTCTACCCGGCTGTTAAATACCTCCAGGGATGGGGACTCGACCACCTCCCTGGGCAGCCCATTCCAGAGCCTGACAACCCTTTCTGTGAAGAAATTTTTCCTAATGTCCAACCTAAACCGGCCCTGGCACAACTTCAGACCATTCCCCCTTGTCCTATCGCCCATTACCAGGGAGCAGAGGCCAACCCCCACCTCACTACAGCCTCCTGTCAGGCAGTTGTAGAGGGCGATCAGGTCTCCCCTCAGCCTCCTCTTCTCCAGACTAAACACCTCCAGCTCTCCCAGCCGCTCCTCATAAGCTTTGTGCTCCAGACCCCTCACCAGCTTGGTTGCTCTCCTCTGGACATGTTCCAGCAACACAACGTCTTTCTTGTAGTGAGGGGCCCAACACTGAACCAAGCATTCGAGGGGCACCCTCACCAGCACCGAGTACAGGGGCACGGTCACTTCCCTACTCCTGCTGGCCACACTATTCCTGATACAAGCTGATGTCCTGTGCACCCTGCTCTGGGTGACCCTGCTTGAGCAGGAGGATTGGACTGGATGATCTCCAGAGGTCCATTCCAACCCTTGCCATGCTGGGATTTTGTGACTCAACCAGTGCGGTGGATCAGTAGGTGAATTAAGGAACGGATTGGAAACCGGAGTATATGGGGCTGCGTTGGGTAACGTGCGTTGAGTTGAGGAGTGCTTACCCAGGGATCAGGGAGAAGGAGCACGGGAGTAGCATCTATGTACGTCTAATCCTTAGCTACCTCCGTAAAACAGCCTTTCCCTCTAAATCACCCTGTGCTGGAGTTGGAAGAGGAGGATGTTTTAACATACAAGAGCTTGGAGGTTTAAATTAACCTCTCTAAAAAGCCAGGCGGTGAAATCGGCTGGCAGAACGGCTTTTGCATTCATCATCGTTTCCAACCTTCTTGATGTATTTTGGGGCTCCGTGGTTTTATTACGCAGAGCGAGGTGGAAAAATAATTAGGTTTTCTTTTAGTGATTATCAGTTGAGAATTTAGCAGATTAACCTCCGTTCAGTGGCTAGGATCTCCGGTTGGCCGTAGCTTTGGAGACCTCAAGCGTTGAAGCTGAGGGGAAGTCGGTGCTGAAGGTTAAGTGGAGTTGCGGATCCTTCGCTGGGTTGGGATGTGCTTCAAGCATGTGTTTACATTTCAGCTTTGTTGGATGGATTCGGAGGATCGTTTCAGCACCAGAAGGACATGGAACAGTTGGAACGGGTCCAGAGGAGGGCCACAAAAACGATCCAAGGGCTGGAGCACCTCCCCTGTGAGGACAGGCTGAGAGAGTTGGGCTTGTTCAGCCTGGAGAAGAGAAGGCTGCGGGGAGACCTGATTGCAGCCTTTCAGTACCTAAAGGGGGCCTATAGGAAAGATGGGGAAAATCTTTTTAGTAGGGCCAGCTGTGACAGGACAAGGGGTAATGGTTTTAAACTAAACCAGGGTAGGTTTAGACTAGATCTAAGGAAGAATTTCTTTCCAATGAGGGTGGTGAAACCCTGGAACAGGTTGCCCAGAGAGGTGGTGGAGGCCCCATCCCTGGGAACATTCCAGGCCAGGTTGGACGGGGCTGTGAGCAACCTGATCTAGTTAGCGGTGTCCCTGCTCACTGCAGGGGGGTTGGACTGGGTGACCTCTAGGGGTCCCTTCCAACCCTAAACATTCTATGATTCTATGATTCTCTGCTCCAGACAAAGGATCACCCAGACAACAGCAGTAAGGTTAATCGCACCGGGGTATCGGAACGCCAACCAGAGCGGTGTGGCTGCGTGGGGAGCAGTTTGTGATCGGCTCCGGAGTCAAGGCTCCGCTGGTGGGAGCCGGGAAGCGGGATGCAAACAAGGACCGCTTTTCCCAGAGAAGCCCCAAAGGCTCAGTCCTTCACCGTGTCGCTCACTGAGCCCGCGGCCCCCCTTGGCTGTATTTCTGTCATTTCTCGAAAGCAGCTTTGTCAAAGCTTTCGCAGCTGTGCCTGGGGCACGGCGGGGACCGGAGCTCGCCTGAGCCGTGCCGGAGCTGGAAACGCTGCTTTTAATTACTCGAGTTTTGGTTATTTAGCCCACGCCGGGTGAATTGTCCCTATAGCACCTTCTTCTCCCCACTCCCTTCAAGCATCACCATCCTCCACTCCCCATCCACAGCATCGCGTAGGTAATTACAGCGCAATTACTGACCTGTAAAGGATTTAACCCCTGGGACGTTGGGTCTCATCAGCGTCTGGGACAGGACCTTTTCCCACAGCATTTGCCTGTGGGCATGCAGTTTTCCTCTCTCCCTTTCCCTCCGTTTGCCTAAGGCACGTTCGTTGTCAGCGGGGAGCTCATAAGTTATCCTGGCGGCGAGCAGAGTCGCTCTGAACGAGGCGCAAAGCACCATATGTTTTTTACATGCATCTCTCTTCAGAGTCACTTAATCACGAGTATATAAAATAGAGAAGATAGACTGGGGACAGCTGTACTCCCCGACTCGTGGCACGTCAAAGGAGGGATGGGGATGAGAATTGATAGAAGGAAAAAGGGCTGGCTTGGGTTTTTTTTTTTTTTTTTCACTGTAACATAGAGTTAGACTTCAGAAATAAAGAAGCCAAGAAAATAGAAAGGTTTGCAAAGGGCCTGGCTGTTGGCGTAGCCCAAATTGTGATAATTCATGCAGATTTTGAGTGGACATGGGGCCAGCGACTTCTTTTCACCCGAGGAAGTGTTGTGCAAGTGCTACCGTCATCACGCGCCCCCACTGCCTGTGCCTCCAAGCTGAAGGATTGATGCTCATCTGGATTGCACAGAACCGTTGGCTTACGTCCGTACCGGCGAGTTACGTGGTATTTCAGCAGGTGCTGGAGCTTGGTTTTGGTCCCAGGTCAAAAACCTAGGTGAGACTTGGGAGTTGGAGATGGCCAAGGACCCGTTGTGGTTGGTGATTTGGCCGCAGCTGCGTCCACCGAAGGACACAACAGCCGGATGCAGATGGGTTTGAGCCGGCTCGTCTCGGTCCTTGGGAATGTTCCTCAGCATCTTTAATTTGCTGATAGAGATGTGGCCTCAGTTTCCCCTCCACAAACACCGGCGTGACTTGGTGCCTCAAAAGGAGGACCTCAAGCCTTTGGCTTCTGGGCTCCGTTGTGGGTGGATAGATGGAGAATGATGACTGCAGCGTGGCGTGGAAATCTCAACCCTGCCCCCTTAGCAGCACTTCACCAGTTAGGAATGGGGGAAAAATAAGGATAAAATCATCGTGGTGATGACACTGAATCAATAAGGAGCGGCCGTGCTGAAGTCTCTTGCAGAAGAGCCGGTTTGCTGATGGCATTTTGGGCACAGAATCCCAGAGAAGGGGTCCCACGGAGCGTGGGTGGCTTCTTCTCATCTCACCTTCTTCCTTGGTGGTTTGCCACTACCGAAGCATCGTCTAAACCCAAGCTGAGTTGTTAAATTAACAAGCCCATAAATGAAGCAGGCAGGTGCCAGCTCTCTTACGTGCCTTAGAAACAAACGCTTTCGGAGCACGTGTATCTGGCCGTACACGTTGGCGTTCCGCGGG